AAAGAAAAAAAAAAATAGGTTTTTCCTTTTTTTAAACTTTATTAGGTCTGTCTGATCACACTTGTTGGATGAAAAAATCCATTGATTAATAACAAAGTTACAGCCAATTACAGCAATAATCAGTGAAAATAAAACACCTTAAGGTCTAGATTATACATAATCCAATGTCAATTTGAGTTTTATATACATGATGGTTCTGACCTTCAAGATGTTGTGTCTTAATATGCAGTCAATTTATAAATAACAAAGTTATAGCAAATAACAAAAAAGAAGAGAATTTCATTAATTTGACCTTGACCTTGACACTTTAAGGTCATGGTCATTGCGATGTTTGTTTGGTAGGATGTTTTGTTTTGTCCAAGTTCAAATCTAATCCGTACACAAATAACAAAATTATGGCAATTTAACCAAATAAATAATTTGACCTTGACGGTAAAGGTTTGTTAAAGAGCCAGGTCAGTTCAATCTTATAGTAGGTATTGTTTATAATTATGTTTTATCAAAGTATGAAGATACTCCATCGATTAATCACTAAGTCAATTATAGCAAATATCAGTGAAAATTCAATGATTTTACCTTAAAGGTCAAGTAATAAAAGAGCTAAGGTCAGTTTGAGTTTTGTATACATGAAGGTCTTATCCTCAAAGAAAATTATGTTATAATATGAAGACAATTCATTTAACAATAACAAAGTTATAGCCAGTTACATCATCAAATTGATAATATCAATGAAATGACTTTTAAAGTCAATGACATTTATGAGTGAAGGGCAAGGTCTGTCTAGTAAACTTAAAGGTGTATTCTAAAAGATAATTATGTTGAAGTTTGAAAAGAAACCATTCAAAAATAACAAAGTTATAATCACTGGTAGCAAAAATCAGCTAAAAACAAGCAATCTTTAGACATTTAACCTTGAAGATCAAGGTAATGTATGGATGAAGGTCAAAGTTCGTCTGATTTACTAAAAGGTATTGTCCCATTGGTTGTTGTTGCCAAGTATGAAAACAATACACATAGAACTTAAAAAGTCATGATCGACAAACAAGTTTGCGGACGGCAACTGCAACGGCAATAGCAACGTCGACATGACTATAACAATATACCTCTACTTTTTTCAAAGGAAAGTCGAGATGAAAAAAGCGAAAAACATCCCATGAAGGTATAACTAAATAGTTCGAGACTTAAATTTACAAGATATTCGTTGATTGTTTTTAAGATTAAAATGGAGAGAAATAGAATCCCTAAAGAAAGTCCAAAAAGACAACATTTGAAATGTTGCATGCTCGGTTTGATTAAGCCTGTTCATGAACGGTACTGGAAAGTACATGTTACCATCCACGCCCCCTAATACTTTACTAAGATGTATTCAACATTTAACATGAAATGGTAAAATTTAGAATTTTGAAACATCCGCACATGTGTTCATACAGCGGTTGTCATGGGATCTTCAATGTAACACGTTAGTGACATTCTATGAAAAGCGGCGTATTGTCCCCAAATAAACAAAATGCATGTGCCCTAAACGAGAAAACAATGAGCAGACATAAATATAATGGAATTTTTTAAGGGGGCCAGAAGTTAGCATATCACAAATAAACTTTCAACAACATATCGTTTGGGTGATTATACAGTATTTAAGTTAGGAATACTGACACCACCCAAGCATTTTAAAAAAGCCACAACAAAGAACTAAATGTACCACAAACAAAATGATAACGTAATTATTAAGATGTTTAGTGACAATTCAGTGCAACAGTTCTAACACCGATGCATGAAAGTTCCTCTTTGGATGGAGACTACGTATTTACGCATGATTAATTTAAATTGGTTCCACGATATTAAGTCTCGATAAACTATCATAATTATATGAAATAACAGTTGCGCAGTAATGAGATAAGAAAGCAGTGTCTTTCAATTTAGATAAAATGTGAATGAAAAAAAAAAGTTTTGCGCAAGCAAGAATGTCTTATTCAAAACCATCTTAGACTCGGCTGCTTTGCAGCTGAAATACATTGCTCTTATGTCTCCTAGATTTTACTATCTTGACAGTATTTGTTCAGCTTGACGATGTACAGGTTTTAATCCTCAAGAGCCACAAGAATGGGGCAGATATTGATGAAACTGCTTACAGATCGAATTATCTAAATACCACAGGGGCGTCGCATGTAAGTTACTAATAAGTATAATTACGAATTCTACTGAGCATGTGTTCGAGCTGCCAAATTTTAATGTACATATATAATGATGTCACAGTGGAAAAGATTCGTTCACGTGACAAAGATGTGGTTTAAGTGGGTTTAAAGAAAGCTCTCAAAAGAAGGCCGAGAGAAGCTTCGGATAAATAACGAAAATACCCGAAATTAGTCTATATTTTAAGATTCAATATAGGGTTCGAAATTTTAACCCACTCTTCACCTCACCTGTGAATTACCTTCACCATTCGCCTTTCAGTCTCGAACCTATACCAATTTAGGGAGAAAGATAGGTCAAATAAAAGAAATAAAGGCAAATTTAAATAATAGAAAAAAAATAATAGAAAAAATAATTGTCCGATCAAGACGGTATTAAAGTGAACGGTATTTGAAGATTCGACCGATTCACAGGAGATTATTCTCGGGACTATACTGGGGACTATACGCTGCGTACTAACGTCTCACATTGAAGGTTCCACGATAACTACAGAATAAACGCATTTGCGGATGTTTCTCTATTCAAAATGTAACCATTTCACGTTAGTTTAAATTCTGTTTTAGCCATTGTTAGGGTGTAGATTGCAATTTCCAGTACTGACCATGAACATGTTTAATCAAACTGAACCTGTAATAATTTCAATTTTGCTGTTTCAGAAGTTGTTGTTTTTTTGACGTTTTTTATTATTTTTATTTATTTATTTATTTTAGGTGTGTGTGGGGGGTCTTTTTTCTATTAACAAAACATTGTAATTATTTATTGCGATACAACTAGCGTAATGTAAGGACATACACTAACAACCTGTTGTAAAATAGTGCCTAATTTAAGTTTTTACATTTTCATAATGCTGACAAAATCATTGCCATTTAAAGAATGTTTTGATGTTTGTGCAATTATTTATGGGATGCTTATTGCTATTTGCTCCAGTTCTTCATAACTTGTAGAATATATCTTATCATTTTCAACCAAACTTCATAACCGTTTTTGGTGGTTAAAATGGCTGAACTGTACATATACAAAACGTATTTAACATATTCTTGATTTGTAACCTCTTCCGCCACCATCGATTGCCTTTACGGACTGTTGCTTCACGTGCGTATATGGGGTTCTATGTTAATTTGTTGCAATTTTTTTTTTTGGTTTGAATTTAAAGTGATAATTCTCGAATGCTTGTATGACATAAATTAAGTAGTAAATTGTCTTAAATTATATCATAAATTGCTATACGGATAGAGCCTTACTTAAAACAGCAGAATAAAGTTTTGGTCAGGAACTAATAATAAGTAAATACCGGAGACAATTTATATTTCAACTCTTCCGAGGATCGACCATAAGATTAGGGAACAAATATAATTTTACTGATGATTTGCAATCTGAAAATACTTCATAAGATATAGCTTTTTTAGTGGTTGATTGCATAAATATCTTTAGTTAGAATAATGCTGAATACGTGCCTTTATTAATTAAGTCTATGGCAGCATTATATGGCGAAACTGCATGAATGGCGTCCTCATATGAGGCATATTGATCAATCTCCTTACAATGGCACACCATCGATACAAATCGGCTGGACTTTAAGACTTTCATGGCTTATAGAAATAAGAGTAGTACAAGATGTAAAAACTGGCAATTTTTGTATAACAATGACAAATTTTAGTTAAGATCCAGACCTATTGAATTTAATGTTTTTAATTTGTTTTTTAATTTGTTTAAGGTTTTTTTATCGGTACAGATGAAGAAAATCCTATGAACATACATGTGGATACTTTGAAAGGTATTATTAATACTATGTTTGGTCTAAGAAGAAATGGTACTAACATGCTGAGTTCAATACATATAGTTTTTTTATAAATATGATGAAACAGAGATGTATGTCTCTGTATGTGGTTATCCTTCAAACAAATCTGCATTAGCTTAATTCAGCAAACAGGGAGGTATTGAAATATGCATGCTGATGCTAGAATGTTTCTACACGTACAGTTATAACTAAGAAAACATGTCTTGATCTTGTCCAAAACCTGACTTGGTCTCATCTTTACAATCATTTAAAATTATGTAAAATATTATTCTATACAGTTATATACATTTCACAATGTTCAAAATGTCGATTAGCAAAGGTATTATTTCACTAAACGAAGAAGAGATTTACTTACCAGCATTTTTCTTATTTACTTATGAGCGGATAAAATAAAACCATAGTTTTTCAATCATATAAAGAAAGCAAAGGTCTGAAAAATGGTTGATTGATACAGTTATATGTAAGTTTTGATCAAAGGAATGAGCGTGGTCTCAGAAATAAAGTCAAATTTTGTCTTCTATTATTTTGCAGTTGTTCTAACCTCAAAGCTTATAATAAAGATACACTTTTAAACATATGTAAAACAATAAGCAGGTTAACAGGTATTTGGAAATAATATGATTATTTTATTTACAAGTTGTTAAGCTACTCCATTCACACTAAAAATATTTCTTTCATTGTCTTTATCAAATTTTTGATACAAATTTAAAAAATGATAATTACTAATCTGACCAGACAAAAATTATGAAATCTATGGGGTTTGAACCTATGGCATTTCTATTTAACACATAACCTTGAAAGTAACTTCTAACAATATTTCAGACATTAACAAGTATATCGTCCAGCAATTTACAAAATAAGTGATCTTAAATTCTGTAACAGAACTTGGGTTTTCGTAAAAGCAAATCAAGGTAGAGACAGATGATTTTTGAGTACGAATGGCAACAACAGTTTGATTACCAACCAAGCTGTTCCAGAAATATTATGTTTAACGTATTATTTGCTTTTACAGATTTTGGCAGAAAACAATAATAAACAGGTGTTTGGTAAACCGACTATATACCCTACAGATGGGTATGAACGAGCAGCATACCTCCGCAAAACAAGTTATTCCTCAATCATTAATGATGTTCGTTTGCGCATCCGAGCACATTACGATGAAACACATCACGTTTTTTATTGCCCTCTTTGTAAAATAGCATCAACATTCTGGTCTCGTGTTTTCAAAATGTTTGAGTATAAGGAGACAACATTTGTTGAGATGCATCCATACGAAATTAACATTTCAGATGTTTTAAATAGTGAGTTGTACTTTTCCACATCGCGTGGAGAAATTTTAAGATCAAATGGCATTTGGAGTAAAATAAACGTTCAAGATTCGTTCAAATTTTTATTTGTAAGGAATCCATATGATGTTTTATTTTCCGCATTTGTTGACAAAATTGTCGGACCTAACCCGTATTATTGGAACGTTTTTAAAACGGAACTTGACTATAAGAAAACTGATGTAAGCATCAAGTTGTGTGGTGCGGATCTCAAGTTTGGACAATTCTTACAAAATGTTGTAAAGAGATTTCTAGCAACTAATACCCTAGATTGCCATGTAAATACATTGGATGCATGTCAACCCTGTACGATGAACTATACATTTGTTGGAAAAATGGAGACTTTAAAAGAAGACACATTTCATATTTTATCTATGTTAAACCAAAGTAGAACTCTAGAAATGTTTGAGAACCAGTTTAGTTCACTCTACGCAGACGATGCAATCAAAGATTCAACATCTGGACCGTTTAAGTGGAAGGATGAAATAGTTGAATGCATTCCTTGGGTTGAGGCTCTGCAGAGAATATGAAGAAAACTACAAATAAGAAGATTGATAGGTATGCATGCATTTCCTCTTAATGATAGTGAAGCTGAAGTCATTGAAGAAAAACAGTTTGTTGAACTTCTTAAGAAGACGAGACTTAGAACAACATCTAAAGAAAGAAAATTTCAAACAGAATATGCTTTTGTAGAAGCATATAGCTCAGTTCCCTCTTCAATTATCAACGACATCAGAAAAATATATTCAAGATCGTTTAAGTTATTTGATAACGATGATAAGCTCAATATCTTTGCTAGTAATAATACTTTTTCAAGTCAAAAATTCAAGTTATTTGATTATTCCAATATAAGGGAAAACTATTATTAATAAATATAAAGAAAAATAAACATCTTATGTTTTAATTTATATAACTTATGCTATTGTTCATAAAAAGCAATAGTGTCGGATCATATCACAAGTTTTAACAACATTTGAGAGTGTGGGCCCTTACCACATCATCTAAATTATAGTAAAAAGATGTTAACAAATTCTGTTATATTTGAAATACAATAAATAGTACATGTAAGCAATCTATATATTATCAGTTGAAAAATAGAATTTGATGGCTCTACAAAAATGTGGCATTATAATAAACGATGCGTCTCAGTGTTACCCCAACAAATATTTTGATAACCGTGTGCGTTATCTTTATTCTTATTTTCCAAGAACATACATTGTTCCGATATCCTAAATTACCTATATGATAGGTACACTTCGATAGACAAAAAAGTGTACCACTGACAAAAAATCATATTTGTCGTAAAAGGTATCTGCTATTGATGCGAATTTCATGTTTTTTTTTCAATGTTCTAAATATAATAATGTTGCATGTAGTTGTCTCTATAATCAGTTTTCATATAGAACGAATATTTAACGATATTTAACAGATCAATAATTACGCAATCTAGTACTAATTCTCGTAGTCCCAGATCCACAAAACAATTGGTTAATTAACTCACTAACTGAAGATTTCGTTTTTAAAGTATCTGTATTTGCTTTTCAACCGTTGAGTAGAATAAACACTTCTGCAAAAAATAATTTCTACCACACATGTTTGTTTGTATGATTTGGTTTTACATAGCACCATCACAGTACAAGTCATATGGAGACGTTCCATATTCAACACATGTATGCAGCGACTTTTATCTTATAGTTTTTCAACTAAACATAGTTTTGGGGACCAAATAAGAATCACTCTGTTCCGTCTTGTCCCGCCCCGTCTCTTCCCATTTCAGGAAACGGTATTAATTTAAAAATTGGAGGATCAAAGCAATATCACAATACATCTATCTATGTTAAGTTTTATAACTTGTCATAAAAATGCCCCCTTCTTTTTACTTAGAAAATAACCCAAACATATGCCAAAGTGGTTGCTACAGCTGACCAGACCCACATTGACCTTGAGTCATAAATGATGTTGACAATCAATGTCAAACTTTACGATGATCTTGAGTCATAATAGACCGTGACATTGATTTCTTTTTTAAAGTAACTGGCTGTAACTTTATTTGTATATGTTATTTCCAATCTCAAGTACAAATATGAACTTAAGCTTGAAATAGCAATGCAATACAAAATACGACTAACAATGATAAATCTGATTAGTAGTTTTACATTATTTTAGTCCTTTTTATTCATATTCACTTCAGAAGATTTACCTTTTGTTTATTAAGTTATCTTTAAACAAAATGATGGTAATCAAATGATTATACTCTTTTAAATAGGTAAATTATTGGTATAGTAATTATTATTGGTACATAGATACATATATGAAACATCATCACGTTTATAAAGTTGAAATGAGGTGAGTAACATCATTGCCCTCTTGAGTTTGTTTTTTTATAGAAATAATGATAAGCAGACTGAGTGTTTTTAAGCAAAATTTGTTTTTTAAATGTTTGTCATGTAAAAAGTATATTGTGTATGTTTTACACTTAACACTCATATAAAATACAGTTGCTTTAAGTCCGTTAAAGTATGCATTATAATAATAATGGGGCACTATTACAAGCTGATAAATGCGGTTCAATTAGAGTCAGGTTTGAATTTATCGACATAAAATAAAGCAATAACACATTGCAAAAAAAAAAAAAAAAAAAACACAGACTTTTAACAAATTCACATGTTATTCTGTGCTGCTTTAAGTTCGCTATACTAAATCTTTAAAACAAGAATAGAACACAAACAGTGAACTTACGATGCAAAATTATCGTTATCAACTGTAAGATTAAGTATTTTCTCCTGTATGGCAGAGGGAAACAACAAAGAACAAAAACATATTCAATCAAAACAGGATTTATTTGACTAGACGTAGACCATAGATCGGCTAATTTGAAAAATAAAAACACCATTTAAGTGGCAAGTGGTATTACTTTTTTGGAAAATGATGATTATATAAATGATGCTCAAAATATAATGAACTTCTGTGGCTTTTTGCAAAAATGAGTAAAATGATTTCTGTTTATTTAAAAATCTGCATATGAAAATATGTCATTACCGTAAAAATAAATGATGACACGAATTAAGTTGTCTTTATTTCATTCGTGAAATAGCACATTCGGCAAACAAAAATACATTTGACAATATACAATTTGTTTGTTGTTTGTTAGATTTGGTTTTACGTCATAACGACACAGTATATGTCATATAGCGACGTTTCCATTTTTTCATGTGGAGTAAGACCTCAGGTGCACTTCCGTGCATACTGTCAGGTACAAACGGGCACCTGAGTCGAACTACCGACGTTTCGTAAGCTAGCTTCCCACATGAGAGAATCCAAAGTCCTTGTCGTGGTTCGAACCCACAGCGGTGAGGCGGAAGTGGTTTAAAGTCATACGTTTCACATTTTTACGCATTATGTTTATGTGAACTTATGTTCCAAGCCTCCACTAATACTTTATAAAAAGCTGCAAGAAATTCAAGGCAGATTTGAAAAGAATAATTGAAACTAAACCTCCAAAAAGGTTAAAAAACATAATTTTTGCAATTGTATTGCTAATAGAATCAACTTTTTTTAAAGCTTTCTACCATAAATACAGATTGAGAGATATTAAGCAACAGGTTAGTTTTTATGGAGATCAAATGGTACATGTATTTACGATCTTCAAGATGACCATTTGTGATAAGTATACCATTTGTTTAAAATTGTTGCGGTGTGAGAATTGGATGACAATTTATCGGGAACAGGTTTTCGTAAATCGAACAAAATCATAATATTTAAAGAAATATAAAAATCCATAGTGATGACGGTTATATATATAATTTTTAATGAGTACCATGCTATCCAAACGCCTTTTTTCGTAATATTACATATCTGCCTTTAATATAATGATTACATTCAATTTCAATTTATTTCAAATTATTTAGTCAAACCACTACAACGTGAGTTTATTAATTAATCCTTAGAGTTATTTCAGTTTCAAACTTTCAATGTGTATTAAGATGTAAAATGAAAAAAACTAAAGTTTTCTTTTGATATAACTAAGTTCATACCAATCAGACCATAAGTCTATCTTTTCTGCAAGTTGTATTCTATTTGGATCTGCATAGCTGTAGAAAGTTATTTTTTCGACTTAATGTACTTGAAAAAATCAGAACTTTATTCAAAATATGTAGCAACCAAACAATGTCGATTGTAAGCAGAGATATATGGACTTTATTTGAAGAAATTTTTTTCAGAATTTAAAACAAAATTGCATATAAACTACCCTGAATCTAAGACACAATGGGTAACGCCGGTGAATTCGCGATTCTTTCATAATATTAAACAGTTGAATAAAATTAGCTTACAATGAATGCGTGATACTTTTCTAAGGTCAAACATGTTAGATTATGTGAGTATAAACATCATATAATGATATACATGTATAAGGCAACACAAATGTTATATAAAGCAAGCGATATGTCATATAAAGCAAAAAAGGTTAATTTTATCTATAAGTCTGTTTAATTGTTAACTTTGTCTTTAAGTCTGTTTGAAAATGCAACCAATGATTTACAACGCCGACGATAGAAACAGCAATTTAAGATAGTGTCATTTAAGTTCTTAAATAATATAAGGATCTTACACCGAATGCCGGTACAGACCGGAATATCTAGCTCTCGGGTAACTGTTTAGCAGAAACTCGGCTCTAATGACACTTTTTAGCACTTTTTCTTATAGTAGCGTATAAAACTTCACTCATAATGGCCAAATGACGCTATTCTAAGAACGCAATTCATTCATTAAAGGCACGCGGGAATGACATCATTCTGTTAATGCACGCGACTTGTCTTACACGGGGGATGTAAGACAGTTTATTTCTACCACCGGTGTAAATGTCTGATATCAAGAAATATCTTTATACAGATCGTGACAGCCTATTTTTTAATAAATGTAATTCATATAATTTCTAAACGGACACCTGTGTATCATTATTGTACTAACGAAGCTTATTTCCAAAAAGAGCATCCTTAGTAACAAAGTTACCTTAAATAAAATATCTTAATTGACACCTATAATGTACTAACTAGACTTATTATAAGTAAGAGTATCTACAGTAAACAAAGTAACGTTTTATAAACCTGCCACCTGGCATCGATGTTATTGTTACATGTCGCTCTTGATCAACATAATGAAAAATTTTTAAAGTTTAATTATTTCAAATT